GCCGTCCACCACATCCCCGCCCCCTCCGGCCGCTGTCCATACTCCTCTGGCTGCGCTCACCACTGTGTCTGCTGCTCCGCAGACCTTTCTCCACTACCCTCTGCACCAGCCTGATCGCATGCAGTGAGCAGCTCAGATCGGAACTGGAGCTACTGAACCCAACAGTGTGACTGTTGACCTGTTGCATCATTGGGATGAGACTGGATAACCAGGAAGAAAGTGTGATGTAATCAAAAGGGCTTTTAGAAAGCACTTTCATTTCTGTTTTTTTTTTTATATATATTAATGTTGTAATAAATGTTTTATTGCTTTGTCATCAACATACGATTTGAATGTTTTTCCTAAGTGGTCAGGGACTCCTCTGGTTGGGTCTCTGTCTTTGTTAACCCTCAGTGCAGAGGTGGGAGACAGGCTCACTTCTGCAGAGTGCATGGGTCAAGACAATGAGAAATATGTCTCTATGACATGATGCTGCAGCTGCAGTTTCACCAAAGGTACTGAGCTAAATGCTGGATATTAGCCAAGCTGGGAGCCAGTTACTATTTCAGAAACACAGGTCTGATTATCTCCTCGTCAAGGTTACCTTATAGAATTTCTCTCCTTACCTGGTTCAGTTTATCCTTTTTATTAGTTTCTTTTTTCAAATGAACAAAATGTTTATTGTACTCAGCTCTGTTTCTTTTATCTACCGCTGGCAGATTATTACACGGTGATATGTTTAACAGAATATGCAATTATGATGATGAAGTATCAGCATGAAAAAGGTAGACAACACCGGTATATTGTTTTTATATTGCTACTGCTAGAACATTACTCAGAGAAAGATTTTGTTAATACTTAAAATTCCAGTTTTGTTTATTAGGATGTTTTTGACCTGTAACTTCTGGAACAACAGATTCTGACTTTTGGGTCTATGATATTTAAATTATATAGTTGTCAACGCATATCAAGTAAATGTGTTTGGATGTAGGTGGCAAGAGGTACAGTATATATGTTGTTGCTGAATGTGTGAGAGTGTGTTTGGTGTCTGTTCCTGTGTGAGTGAATGAGAGAGAAATAGAGCGATGCAGTATACAGCAGTGTCAGGACCGAGCTCCTTTTCCAGCCCATTGTACTGCTCAGAGTTGTTTCTTTGTTTTCCCAGCTGCACAATATACAGACAGAGGCTACAGTGATGATAGCATAGTCTCTTAGTGCGGTGGCACCACCTTGGTCATAAAGCAAGCCAAACATAACTTTTCAAACTAATATGCAAAATAAAAAGAATATTTCTTTTAAAAAAAAAGAATAAAGACATGCTAGTGTTTTCTGAGTGTCAGACATTTACTTGTCACTTAACTTTTCACTGATAGCTTGGTGAATATGTTGAGGTGTCCATTAAATGAGTCAACACCATGTTTCATGACTATTAAGTAAATATAAAACCACAGCCAGCAGCCAGTTAGTCCAGTAATTAACATGTTATTAATTACAACTTGTTTGTTTTATCTGTACCTTTGTGTAGAAACTGCAAGTTGTGACTTTATGGGGGCCATTTTATGTCAGAGTCATTTTTATGACATAACCCCCATAAAGATAGTTTTACACTCTGGTTTTTGTATGGATTAAACAAGTGAGATATAATGTGGCAACAAATTAGTTTTAGGTGGCATTTGGAAGATAGAAACTATTACCTCTGCAAAGAGCCAGGTTAGCAGTTTTCCCCCAGTTCCCAGTTTCATTACACAGCTAAGGTAACTGGCTGGAGCTTCACATTCATTCTAAAGCAAATATTACTTGTACTGATCCTCTCATCTAAAGCAACTTTTGCAACAAAGCAAATAAACATATTTCCCAAAAATGGAGCTCTATTGCATAAGAAGAATAATCTATTTGGAATTTGCCACAAATCAATTAATTGTTGGTTTTGATCAATCAATTGTGGGCTTTCATCACCACAAGCAAAATATAGAATAAAGCCTGACTATTCCTTTAATTGTTTTTATTTTATCAGGGCTCGGGAGGTGGAGTCATATTGTAGCTTGTCAGCCATGATGCACCAGAACAGACGACAGTGGAAGATAAATGACTGTCCATTTTAAGCATGTTTCTTATCAAACATGAGCAATAGTCTAGTGAGATGGATCCTGTCCTTACCCCAACTACCCCTCCCTGAACTACATTTCCCAATGTACCTTAAACAATGTGACCTACTACAGCATTATTTTTCATGATCCATTTTAGTTCAAAAATCATTTGTTTCCCTCAACCAATTCTAATCTTAGACAATGACAGTCGTGTTCTCTTTTCGCCATCTTCTGGCCAAAATCAGTTATTACAGCTCTCTCTGCTCCATAGCCACAAACTCCACAAAATGTTACATCTAAAGGAACAAAAGTGACCCAAACCCTGTGTCAGATTCTTATGCTAATTAGCATACTCTCCAAGTAAGGATCAAACAAATGGAGACTGAATGTATAGCTTTCACAGTCAATCTGCAGTGAACAGCCCTACTATCAAAGTCGGAGAGATGACATTTGCCCTGGATTGTGCTGTTTCAGAACAAAAAAGCAGATGGTTTATGTAAAAATGCATCATAGCAAATACCAGTGTGGGAGGAGGAGAACTAATTGTGATGAGAAAATTAACACAGTTAATGGTAAGAAACAGGAGAGTGGTCATGAAGATAAAACAAAATAAGAAGTACTGTGATCACACATGCACACACTCACTTTCAAACACACTCATACATAAGAGCAGGCACACACATACATGGGCTCCCTTGCTCGTGCACACGTGTACACACACCACACATGTACTGCAGAGGTATCCACACACACTGGACTGTAGTGACTACAGATGTTTTGTGAAATCTTGGTACAATCTAAAGGTTTCATACATCTGTGACTTAGAATAAAGCCTGACTAAATATGCAGAAACTTAAACAAACTAAAATGGACATTCATTCAGATGAATGTTGACAAGCATGCCCATCTTCACTGGTATAACCCAACTTGAAATGACCACACACCCACAGTGTTGCCCTCTCTACCTTACAAAGATCCCATTCCCCACCCCTCTACTCCAGCCTTACCTGGCCCATGCCCTCTTACCCGTTTCATATCATACCTACATCCATAGCTCCATCCTCATCCTGCCCTTGGCCTCCCAATCTTTCTGACAACTGTCTTCCCAAACCTTTGTTTCATTTCAGGGTGTTCAGGCTCCTTTGCATTGCAGATGAAGGCCTGGCTGGGAGGAGGAAGTAGGTGGGCAGGGTGAGACGAGGCAGGTGCTGGTTCAGGTAGTAACCATTTATCAAAGACACTGTGACAAGTTCAGAGCAGAGAGTGTGCAGTGGGGACAGAGGAGTCCTGTTGTGTGTTGAGGTTAAAGGTTGTGAACCTGTATGTATGTTGGTTTTTACACTGGGAGAATGACATGTTAGTCTAGATGTGAGTATCTCGGTTAGTTTTGTGCGATGTAGTGTGAAGGCATGGATGTGGGGGCAGTGGAGGTGAGGTTGCTGTAGCTCAGGGCCTTGCCCCTCATTCTTCAGCCTCAGTCAGAGAAGGAGACAGGGGCAGGTTTATAGGGCTTGTGTCTTGAGTTCAATGGGCTCCCCACGAGTGTCCTGCTGGATCTCGCTGCCAGGGGGCCGACTACCCTTCAGTGTTGCCAGGCGCTCAGACAGACCCCTCATGCGTGGCAACAGCATGAAATCATACAGCAGGGCGCCCATGGCACCTCCTATCATAGGCCCAACCCAGTACACCTGCCAGCAACAAATATCAGCTTTAACATTTATCAGTCCACACAGTGTTCAGTCATTTATGATTCATGCTGGGAGTGCACTGAAAGCTGCGGGAGTGTTTGATCTGTTTAGTGTGATTTCAGGTGTTACCCAGTGGTTGATGAAGTTCCTGGAGAGCACAGCAGGAGCAAAGGACCGAGCAGGGTTCATTCCAGCACCAGTGTAGTGCATCTGAAACATGAAGCACTCATTACTGTATAGTGTTGTAAAATATTTTCATGCATTTAAGTGTATCTGCACAGGTTCGTCAATGTTTGTCCATGAGTCTCACCCCCATGAGCTGCCCAATGATGACAGAGAAGCCAATGAAGAGGGCGGCAGATCCCAGGCGCCCATTTCTCCTCTCATCGGTCACAGCGAAAATGCATACTACAAGTTGCAAGGTGAGGAAAATCTCCACAGTAGTGGCCATTCCCAGGCTGATACCAGGCTGTAGCTGGAGATACACAGATGGACAAAAACATTGTACAAGTCAATCAAATCATGGTTTCAGACCTGTACTCTACTTTCTCTTTTATATCAGATAAATTATGTGTTACTTAGAACCTTTTTTTCCAGGTATTTTAACAATGGTTTCAGTGGATGACCTGGTTGGACTCATAAAACATACTTAAATGAACTGAAGGTCAGTTGATACTACTAGCAAAACCCTCCTTTATCAATTTCAACAAATTCCTACACTCTAAAACCTACTCATAAACTTCAGCTTCCCCTCCTAAGCAGATCGCTCTACTTGTTTTCTGAAACACCTGCTCTGGGTCCTTACCACATTCATTGCCATGTTGCCTCTCATGTTGCCAGGTGTGATTCCGTACAATACAGCAGCCCCAGTTATAGCACCCAGGCATTGGGCAGCCATGTAGAAAACAGCACGGAAGAGAGATATTTGTGAGCCAACAAGATAGGCAAAGGTGACAGCAGGGTTGATGTGGCCGCCGCTGATGTGGCCAATGGACTGGATGAGGGTGGCAGCTGCCAGCCCAAAGCCCAGGGCCACATGAAGGACTTGATGAGGCCCAGTGGTCCAGCGCAGGGCAGCACCCATGCCAAAAAATACAAAGAACATTGTCCCAAAGAACTCTGCAAAGACTGCTCGCCAAAAATTCATGGACCGGAGCTCCCACATGGTGACCGTTCACTTGATGCTCTCCACCAGATGAGGACAATTTTAAAAAAGAATTTAGGGGGAGGCTAGAAAAGGCAAATGTGCACCTTTTCAGTCCTACTTCAAATGCCAAAAATACCAAAAAAGGATTTCTCTTTTGTAGTCAGCTAACCTGGCTGACTAAGTACACCCAGTGAGTCAAAGACGAATCCACTCGATGGGTTTTTACCAAGCTGTGATCTGGGCTAGTGAAGTCAGCACAGCTTGTTACCTCTGTCCACCTGTAGCAAAGACACAGGTGTGAGATTATGTAGGAGTGCGGGTGCAGATCTCAGGTGGGATGAGTTGTCAAGAGGAGCTAGGCATCAAGGCTAAAGGGGTGTTTCTAAAGTAGAGACAGGGATAGACAAAGTGTCTGGTGGGCCTCTGATGGAGGGGCGAGGGCCAGACAAGGGCTTTATAATAGCCCCCTCGGGGCCTCAGGTGACGCCATAATCCCCCTGTGTGACCATGGGCGGGGGGCAGCAGTGCTGGCCATCCTAAATCAAACAAACATAACCCCCCTATTAACCCCTTATGACAGATTAAAAGTGAGATTGAGCACAAATCCATAAAAGACATTTAGTAGGAGGTAAAGAGAAAAAGACGACAGTATCTTATGTTCAGAACGAGTGGGAAACTGGGAGGAACAGCCATGGCAAAGAGCAGGGACAAGAAGGTTTTCTTTGGGGCATATGCAATCTGCTGACACATCATAACTGTCATAATCAGAGGATGGAAATCAGATGGACAAGGACAGAAAACTAAAACACAACATACACACACACACACACACACACACACACACACACACACATAAAATACAGTTGGAGCTCTGGACAAAAATACATATTAAACTAAAGCACAGAAGCAATAGCTAGCGAAGAAGTGTCTTAAATGTGCCATGCTCAATGCTAGGTCTAAATGCTAAAAATGTGGCTACAGTTCAGGATCACATTTACTGCATTTACCCACTGTGGTGGCATGGGTCATTGCTGAGGTCAGGGATAATGAACACCACACCTGAACTTGACATTGCCTCAGAGCTCAGAGCCTTCACTGCTGCACAGCTAACACCATGTGGAGGAGACATGAGAAGATGAAGTGGAAGTAAATCTGGCTAATATGTGCAGGAGGAAAAGCAGCAATGTAAAGAGAAGACAGCGAAAATGAAAGTGGGGAAACAGAGAGTGCCACAAGCAATGAACCAACATGATTCATATGACACAGTGAACTGTGTTGTCTGTGACAGGGGCTTCTAGGAGTTGCTTAACAGAGCTTTGCAATATGTGACAATGTGTGTTTGTCTGTGTGGGTGTATCAGAAAAGCCCTGAATGCTCTGTGTGTGTGTGGATTTGGGGGAAGGGCGAAGCACAGTAGTGCAGCGAGGTTATGGTAGGACAGTGGGGTTACTGAGCGGCACAGGGGGCAACACACCAACCAGTCGAGAGCAGTCACTGTAGACTGGTGGGGAGGGGGTGACATGGGTCTGGTGAATGCAGAATGCTGAGCGTGCCATTTTAACTCTTTCATACATGTTAGAAAGAACAAACACAATGCAAAATGCTGGCGGCACTGTGGCAGTTATAGCTATTGGGCACTTTGTGTGTATACATAGTTTATTGCAGGTCACCGTGTGCATATTTGAGTATGTGTGCACTACGCATGTGTGTAGTCAAATTACACAGCTGTACAAGATTCAGGGAGAACTGATATAAGTTTAATATGGAGGTAGTGTTAGAATTTAACAAGAGACATTACAGCCACTGAAAGTCAGCCTTTAAATGTAAATGCATTTAACTGAATGTACAGACTCTACTGTTCAAGATGTAAAGTTAAGAATGATCAAATATACAGAAACATATCTGGTACTTGTGGATTTATAGATTCAGATACAGTATGATATGTTGATTTATAAGCCATATACTTAATTTAAGTTGTAAATATGAAGTTATGGAGGTGGACCTTGTTTAGGTTACATGTGGAGTAAATGTTAAGTTGTTGAATGTATTTTTACCTTGTTTTTTGTTTCTTTGTTATGTTTTGTCAATAGGTTTGTGGGGCTTAAATATTTTGGGAAATAAACAAATAATCTTTTAAAAATCTTTTTTAAAAACGCCTCAGCTATAGTGATGCCGATTGCTAACATGGCTTTATTTTAAACAGTCAAATCCAGATAATACACTGTAGAGTATGTTTTTCCTCCAATATTAATACTAAAACATGAAAACTTACTGTTCTTATTATGTTATATATTGATTTTAAAGGGTCAGTTCATTCAAATGACATGACTTACCATAAGTGGTATTGATTTTACTGCAGTGGAGCCAGAAATGTCACAGATGAACATTTCAAAACAAAAGAAACCAAATGTATCACTAAATGAAAATGTGTGTAGGTTTTTGGGTGAACTGACCGTTTAAAATATATCAAAAGCATATTTTAAGACAGGACAACATGGTAATTTAGACCGAAAATGTGCAATACAAAGAAGGGTTTCAGCAAAAAGTATTGTCTCTCCCACACCTAAACATGCACGTACACTCATCGGATCCATTTCAAATTACAAAGCTTATTTCCTCTGTAGGCGTTCTTTCTGTAGAGACATTACAGGGGTATGAAGGGCCATTTGATTGTGAATAAGAGCCCGGCGAATGGGAGAAGAGACAGATGCTAACGGGCACAGACATGAGAGGGATGTTGGGCTGATTGAGAGCATCACTGAACCTGCAGTGTGGGGCAAGGATCTCTTTAGCATTTCAAAGCGAGCACAAACACCATCCCGTGTACTAACAATGGTGAACATCAGGCTGTTTTTCAGCAAGATTTCAATGAGCCTTATTATATATTCTAACAATGTGCAAATGGGAACATAACAATACTGAATAATACTGGTTGTACCTTTGCATACACTAATGACAAGCAAGTCGGACCTCAAAGGTTGCAGCTCACACATTCATTTCGCTCTACATGTGCAGTAAAAAGCAGCTGGGAAATAAACTCATTTTAGCCATGATTTTAGAACATCACGAACACAGGACATCTTGATAATGTTTGAATGGGAGGATAACAAAAGGATAACACAATAAAATATGCCAGGTGAAAGGTCCTTTTGTTTCCATATGTTCTGTTAACTGAGCATCAGCTGAGTTTTACATGTTGTATTTCAAAAAAAAAAAAAAAAAAAAATCCAACAACGGTGGCAACCAAGTCTATGACAACCCCAAAACATCAAGTTATTGACATTTTTAAACCAAGACTATGTATTTTTGAAAGAAGTAAATAACACATCTTTTTAATTGTCAAATGTTTTGAGGTACTGGTGGTTTCATATTCAATTTTTCTGCAATCTTATATGTTTACTGTATTTTTTTTTTTTTTTATAAGCAAATATTGTACATTTATGTGGCCTGTAGTCAGTTACTTAATGCATACAATGTGTCTGATTCCAGGGTAGAAATCTTGCGTAATCATTTTTAAAAACGTTCAGACAATATCTAAGGAGGAGCCTGTGATCCTTCAGTCAGTCAGTCGGGCCTTTTCACCGCAGACGTTTTGACTTGTCGCAGTAGGAAACAAACATTAGTGATAGCTCTGCTATATTCTATTCTTTTAATTATTAGTTGTGATAATATATCAATAATTTAACTCTCAGGACAAGTACTTATGTTTTTTTATACTTGATAACAACAATAGTAATTACAACAATAACAATTAGTAGCAGCCTACAGGCAATTTAAAATTGCCAGTCAACCTAAGCTGCATGTCTTTGGACTGTGGGAGGAAGCTGGAGTACCTTCTTGCCATGAGGCAACAGCGCTAACCACTGCGTCACCATGCTGCCTGAATTTAAAACCATAAGGTTTATATAGAATGTAACCCTCAAACCACCCCCTAACCAAAACCTTTCCTCCCTTGGATCACTGGCAACTACGGAGGTTTCATGTGTGAGAAGTTTAACCTCATGCAGAGCTTCTCCCATGTCTCTGGCCTCCACCACTGCCAAGCCTCATCTACAAGACTGTGACATGAACTGTACACTATGCAGATTCATATAAATCATTGTGTGTTTGTGTATACATGCATTATCAGTTGTTCTCTTGTTTGTTGGCCTGCTTGGCTCTCATGGCGTTTTGCGTGACCGTGGAAAGCGATGATCCGGTCATACTGGCCGTCTCCACAATGTCAATATCCTTGCAGGTCAGACACGCCACCAGTTTGTGGCGGGAGGCGCTCCGTGCAAAGAAGAACTCATGGGACACTCCAGCCAGCACAGCACCGAGCACCGGTCCGATCCAATAAACCTGCAGGTGGGCAAAAAAAAAACAGGGTTATAATGAGACATAAAAAATGTGTAGAAACAGAGAAATGCTTTCAGTTGATTGAATATAACCTACTTATCAGCTAGGTTTTACAAATTGGGGCAGTTTCAGAAGAGTAAGTAATGTGATTTTTAATATTTTTTCCTTATTGTGCACAACTCGAATAAAAAGACCAAAACAAAAATGATTCTTCTATCAAGTGTTGACTGTGTAGCAAAAATCTTATACAACTTATTCCTCCATGATGTAGACCGCCACTGGTGTCCAAAAACTACTTGAAACACTTGAATGAACCACAGTTTGCAATCAAAATGGTGCTTAAGTAAAATTACAAAAGTGTTATCATCAAGACATAAAGCAATAAACGTACTCTTTATGCAGAATAGCACATTTAACACTGATGTATATCATATGATTTGGTTAATTGTTGATGCATTGTTGTGTTCATTACATTTAATGTTGCAGCTGGTAAAGGTGGGACTAATTTATGCTTATAATTTGAATTGCTGCTGGGTAGCATGTGAACCTTCCACTGGAGATCAGTGAAGTCTTATGCTTATACTGTATTATTTTTGTATTAATCTGGATCTGAAAAGTAACTAGTAACTTAAGTTATAAAATGAATGTAGTGGAGTAAAAAGTATAATAATGTAGTGAAGTAGCACAAATCAATATACTCAAGTATAATTATGAAGTAGCACAAATCAATATACTCAAGTAAAGTATAAATACCTCAAGATTAAGGTGCTTAACTATTGTTTGTAGATTTTTTAACTTTACAGTGGGTCAGTGTGACCCACAACATAACAGGAGGGTTAAATAAATATACTTAGTTACTTGTCCAACTTGTCCAATGCACTCAACAGCAATTAGTCCTTGAATTTAATTAGTGAATAAATGTCCATTGATTTAACTGGACAACATTTATGAAACAACAGCACTGGGCAGTGAGTGGGACCATGACGACCACGAAGACAGGTTTGAATTCTCAGGTCCTCCCTCACCCAGTGATTTTCCCAGATGCCAGTGATGAGGGCTGGACCCAGAGAACGTGCAGGATTCATACTCGCACCAGAGAACCGCGCCTGACAGGAAAACACGCAAATTAAACCAGGACATAAACAGGTGCTATTTTTATTTTTTATTTACATTTTCAGAGCTGGTGACAATAACACCAGTACACTATGCTGCATATACTATACAGCCTCAGTTATAAAAGGTTTTCTACAGCAACAGCAATACCTTTTCAGTTAATCTCCAAGAAATCATCCATTATCTACACCACTTGTTTCTGAATAGGGTCATTGAAGTAGTGGGTGGGAGGCGGGGTCCACCCTGAACAGGTCGCCAGTTTATCACAGGGCTAACAGGTAGACAAACAACCACACACTCACTCCTAGGGCCAATTTTAAAGTCACCAATCAACTTAAGCTGCATATCTTTGGACTGTGGGAGGAAGCCAGAGCACCTGGAGAGAACCCACGCAGGCACAGGGAGAACATGCACATACTTCACATAGAAAGGGTTTAAGTCGGCCTGGGTTCAGCACAGAACCTTCTTGCTGTGAGGCAACAGTGCTAACCACTGCTCCGCTCTGCCACCCTCCAAGAAATCAAGCCATTTGTATTTGAAAATGATTCAGCCTATCCAGATTGAGTAGCATGCATGTCTTTGGATTGTGGGATAAGTCAGTGCTGTTCCACATGTTTACAGACTCAGGACGGACCAAAATGAACACTGAAGGGATTGTTTCTGTGAGAAAACAACATAAATCTGTACGAAAGCTTTTTTTTTCTTACCCCTATTAGCACTCCAGCAGTGTGTGCTAATCCAATGGCTAAGTTTCCTGGTTCTGGACTCTCCCTTCGTCTCTGGTCCTCCACTGAGAACACAGTCAAGACCATCTGGAAGGTGCACAAAATCTCTATACCCAGAGCCTGGGCTGCGTGCAAGTCTACAGGCACCTGGGTGGCATAAAGCAGGAGTAAGAAAAGGGGAGCAGGCAGCAGAAAGACATGAATATTCAGAGAAACTTTAAAAGGCAACACAAACATAGTGTATATCGAGATCTGACCTTGTTGACAAAGAACTCTGCAGTGGTCTTCGGTGGCAGGGCCAGGTAGAGGGCCCCGGCTCCTAAAGAGGCCCCCAAACACTGCGCAGTGATATAAACAAGAGCCCTGAGAACATTCAACCTCCGAGTGGCCAACAGAGACAGAGTCACTGCAGGGTTCACCTGATCAGAGAGCACAAACACAGGCTTGGAAAACAAGTACGTAAACCAGATAACCACCAGTGATGGATAGTAACAAAGTACATTTACTCTGTGCTTGTTTATAACTTTGTAATTTACTTGAGTAATTGTATGTTTGAATCTTTTACACTTCTGCTCCACTATACCTCAGAACAAAATGCTACACTGTTACTCCACTACACCTATCTGACAGCTGTATTTAGAGCTTCTTCTCAGGTTAAGATTTTATTATTATGATTATTGGTACTTTTACACAGGCTCTGAGTACTTCTTCCACCACTGACAACAGTTCATCTTAAAGTGAACATGTGACTGTGCGACATTCACCTGTGCCCCACTTATTTCTCCAAAGCAGTGTCCCAGTGCAACAATCACCGCACCCACGGCCACAGCTGGGTACAGGGGTCCCCTGGGGGCATCTGCAGGGCCTGGCACTGAGGCACCCAGCACAGTGCTCACCAAAACCAGGGTGCCTAGCACCTCTGCCAGCATGGCACGCCAGAACTGCCGGCTACGTAGCTCCTCGAGAAAAAGGGGCATGAACCAAGATGATCTATATTTAGCCCATCAAACATTTTTTAAGATTTTTATGGAAACTAAAACAGAAAACTATAAATCTGCTCAGACAGTTCTCAGTTTCATGAAAGCAATATTTCTGATATAGTCAGATACTTTTTCATGATGATCACATTTAACAGTTCGCGTCTTAAGACAATTCTTCTACTGGCCAAAGCAAAAGCAATGAAAAGGACAATACATGTGGTCTTAAAAATATAAACAGACCAATCACTAAGTCAAGTCCATGGCACTAACCTGTTCAAACCTTTTAACTCATTCTGTTCAATGTGTTATAGCTATTGTGCACTTTGTGTGTATACATAGGGCCAGAACAATCAGCTCAAAATGACATTTCATAACCTTCTGATACAAAAAACAAACTGTTGCTATTAGTGAAACAGTTTAAACTGCCATAAAATACAAACATACAAATTGTGAAAGTCAGGTTAATTAAAATTGGTTGTTTTGTCACAGTAAAACACAAGTACTACATATGAAATCACAAGGAATATAAACAGTAATGCGGTAAAATAAGATGCTTACCTCACGCCACATCATTTCACACCGTTGTCCTCTGGTTCTCTGTGGCTCAGTCTGTCTCCTTGCCTGATCGTGTGTAGCTTCTGGGGTGTGGGGTACTCAGGGTCTCTGCTACATCCTTCATTAACTTGAGAGGTCCTTTGATGATGGCAACCTCCTCCCTCAGTCTCTCTCTTCTCATTCTCTCCTTACCCCAGGCCCCAAGGGCATAATTTATGACAGGGAGGGTGAGGACATGCCCCTGCCACGTTTCTGATTACCTAAAATTGTCCCCATCACTATTTTGATATTAATTGCATATAATTTCCTTTGGCTCTATAAATGGATCTCGTGCATGGGCTCTTGACTCTTGCTTATTTCAGATGCTGTAAAAAGTTATGGCCGTTATGGGGCAAAAAATAAAAACAGGGTATGGTGTTTTGTAATGAGGAAACATCACCCAGTGCGGCAGGTGTTCTGTCCATCCCATTTAAAAACAAGAGGTAGAAATCATTTTCTGTAGTGCAGTACAACACCACCACTAATTATGACCTCAATAATAGGAGCAGAACAAACACATGAAGGAAAACAGCAACGTCAGAGGTATGAGCAAATGTAAAGTTCTTTGTTATGTTGACACTATAGTCAAAGATCTTGAAAATGACATGCATGCACCCTCCTTTTTTTACCCTCCATAAGCTCCTTGTGAGGTACCGCTCTGGTCACCATGGGGATAAATGCTTTCATGATGCTGTTGCCATGGAGCCTATTGGGATGCCACATCTGTGCACGCTTTTCATTTTCACTCTTTGATGTCAAATGAGCTCAAGATGTTTTGCACAGAGAGAATTCCTCTATTTATGAAGCTGGAAACGTATGTGATGTGGCCGCTGTGTCATCTGAATACTGAGGTTTCACATGTTAGTTATTTCTTCAATTATGCAACGTGCACAGCAGAACAGAGGCAGCTGACATTATGCAAAAGTGATATGGAGATGTTTGGAGGTCAGAGTGACTCTCTTGACCCTCAGGCATCAGGAGCCCTCAGCCTGGCAGACCAAGTCCAGAATTAACTGGTTGGCTGGGGGGTGGGGTTGTTGGTGTGCCCCCATTATACCATGGATTACTCTCTCCTCTGCACAGCAAATGTATAACAGTTATCCCCCTTGTGTTGGGTTAAGCCTACCTGTGTGGAGCGGAATGGGCAGGGGGCACACTGGAACCTGCTGGCGTGGGGAGTTTTCAGCCCCCTTGGCCCACAGTGCTGACACTGACACAATCACACACACTCTCTCACAGAAAGTGCTAGCTAAGGGATTTGAGAGAGCAATAGGGGGCAAAGTGAAAGGGAGCAATGTATTAAGATATATCACACATTCTTTTTAAAACTGTGAGTATACCCATAATGTCTTACTTTCAGATGTATATTGAATGTGTGTGTGTGTGTGTGTGTGCTTTACCACTGTAAAGCAGCTGGGAGTGATGGCAGGACTTTCCCAACAGCATGTGGCTCAGACGGGAGTCTGTGGAACTGGGGAGCCCCACACAAACACTTCAACTGATTTTTGATTTGATTTGATTTGATTTATTCTTTCAAGCATGTGAAGACAGTTGATATGTCAACACACATAATTTTACACATAACAAATGCTAATCCAATATCAATTTGCTTATACCTAGTACATGCTTGAATGGAGTAGGAAGAAGTCAGACTTATCCAGTCCTACCCCATGACATCATCTTACATCATTGGTTTGCAAGCAGTATCTCTACATAGATAATTCTCTTCTACACCACACAAGTAATATACTAAAAAATTATAACAGAGTGTTAACATTCTTACATAATTACATTCTTAAATAATTTTCTTCTACACCACACAATATACTAAAGAATTATTACATAGTGTTAACATTCATACACCACACCCACAATGTTCCATCTAATTAATCATTGAGCCTGATCATGCATATATCTTGATTGACACATGCCTTTATATTTATGTTTAAATTTGTCAATTCTATTACTATTTTTTATGTCAACACTTAAATTATTCCATAGTTTTACCCCACTTATGGAAATACA